TGGACTGAGTAAATTGCATTAAACTTATATATGATCCTTTAAACAAGATAATTCCATAACGAATCTCATACGAAACTTCATTTACACCCTCACCGGCACCCCTACACTTCATCACTTTTGTTTCCACATCCATATCACACCTGACGTTGTCTTGCAACAAATTGTCCGATCAACGTGTTTTTTGCTGTAAGTTATGCTACAGTCTTCGAAAAATCATCGAATTCTATCTACATTATTGATTCACTACAAGAACTTGTGTCATTAATGTAAAGAATGTGCTTCTTTACATTTAATGCAATTTGTTTTCTTAGAGTTTCAGATCATCTGAAAGCAAGAGCAAACACTAGCTTGGTAATCGTAAGATCAACAGTATCTATTTTCTGTGAAAGGAGCTAGACAGCGTCATTAAGCGATAGTTAAAAAAACTGCTTCGGTAGATGACCAAGGGAAAATTTATTGTTCCTTTGCACTGTCAAAGAAAAGTTTCATTTAAACATTCATTTGTTTCTTCTCTGAAGATGAACTCGATGCACTAATAAAAGCAACTACCATGGGCTGTAATGCATCATCAACTACAACTAGTGCTACAAGCAATGCTTACCGTGGTTCGAACAAACACGTGGAATCATTATCACCGTCCCCTAATTCAAATCAGCATCAACCGGACACAAAGCCCATTCCAAATGATAGTTATCGTCGTACTCGAGCCAATATCAATGACGTCATTCAAAACTTCTTTTTAGTTTGGCTCGATAGTAATGTCGACAGATCAGGCAAGGATTATCAACATTCTATAAAACATCTGCAGCGTACCGTGAATACAATTGAAACATTTCAAGATACAGAGGAATGTGTGAACTATCTATCACAGTTTGAAAACGAAAAGGCATTTCTTGTCATTTCTGGTGCACTATGTGAAGCAGTTGTACCACGTGTTCATGATTCTATGCCGCAAATCTATTCAATTTATTTGTTTTGCCAAAAACGTGAAAAATACGAAGAATGGGCAAAACATTGGTCAAAAGTAAAAGGCATCTATACAGAAATTACACCACTTTGCGATTCTGTTCGTGCATCAGCACGTGAATGTGACGAAGATTCTGTACAAATTACGAGTGCATCATCATTAGATCAAATTGAACCTACATTTATGTATACACAACTATTAAAAGAAATTATACTTGAAATAGACTTCGATCAAAACAAAGAAATTCACGATCTGGTTGAGTATGTTCGACCAAAATACGCCGGCAACGATGAACAATTAGAAATAATCGATGAATTCACTCGAGATTATCAAGGAAATATTGATGACAAGCCTGTATGGTGGTACACTCGGGAGTGCTTTACCTACAACATGCTTAACAAATCTCTAGGTACTCTACAAATGGAAACATTGCTCAAAATGGCTTTCTTTATACACGACCTTCATCAAAACATCGAGGAATTGTATTCAAACCAATTAAATAATGAAAAACGACTTACAGTCTACCGAGGAAAAACAATGACGAAAGCGGAATTTAAAACCAAAATTAAACAAAACGGAATCATTTCGTTCAATAACTTCTTATCCACAAGTGAGCAACGAAATGTTGCCATTGAGTTCATTGACAGAGGCCTCAAGTCAAATGACAAAAATAAAATTGGAGTTCTTTTCATAATGACAATAGATCCGTCAGTGTCCACATCCACAGTATTTGCTTTCATCAAGGATATTAGTTTCTACAAGAAGGAGGACGAAACTCTATTTTCTACACATACGGTTTTTCGCGTAAACAAGATCCTAGAAATTCATGAAAGTGAAATGATAATTAAGCAAGTAGAACTCACGCTTACGAGTGAAAATGACGATCAACAACTTAGCCTTCTTACTGAGCGACTGCGAGAAGAAACCAGCGGAAGAGGTTGGGGAAGAATGGCGAAACTTCTGTGGAAGATGGGGTATCCTGAAAAAGCTCGACAATTATGTACTATACTACTTGATGAAGCATCAGATGATAATGAGAGAGCTATTTTATACAATTACATAAGTATTATGTATGATAACATGGGCGAGTATTCCAAAGCACTTGAATTCCAGGAAAAATCACTGGAGATTAAAAAACAAAATCTTCCTCCAGATCATATAGATTTGGCTAGCTCCTATCATGGAATTGGGGGTATCTACAGTGGCAGGGGCGAGTATGCGAAAGCACTTGAATTTTATGAACGATCACATGAAATCTGTAAAGTAGCTCTTTCTCCGAATCATCCCAATTTGGCAACATCCTACAACAATATCGGTTTGGTGTATTCGAAGATGGGCGAGTACTCAAAGGCACTTGAATATTACCAGAGTTCACTTGAGATTCGGAAAATAGCTCTTCCTCCAAATCATCCTGACTTGGCTACTTCCTACGCCAGCATCGGTTCTGTGTATGATGACATGAAAGAGTACTCGAAAGCTATTGAATCCTATCAACAATCACTAGAAATCTGTAAAGTCGCTCTTCCTCAAAATCATCCTGACTTGGCTACTTACTATAACAACATTGGGACTGCGTATGATAACATGTGCGAGTATCCGAAAGCACTTGAATCCCACCAACGATCACTTGAAATCAGGAAAATAGTTTTGCCTCAAAATCATCCTGACTTGGTTTCTTCTTACAATAACATCGCTTCAGTGTATAATAGCATGGGCATGTTTTCGAAAGCACTTGAATTCAACCAGCGATCGATTGAAGTTCGTAAAATAGCACTACCTCCCAATCATCCTGACTTGGCTAGTTCCTATCAAGATCTGGCTGTTACGTATTCTCACATGAAGCAGTACTCGAAAGCACTTGAGCATCTTGAACAATCGCTTGAAATCCGTAAAATAGCTCTTCCTCCCAATCATCCCGACTTGGCTATTGCCTACAGGAACATCGGGAATGTGTACGCTCACATGGACGAGTACTCGAAAGCCCTTGATCCGTACGAACGATCACTTGAAATCAGTAAAATAGCTCTTTCTCCGAACCATGAAGATTTGGCGCAGATCTACAGTAACATTGGCCTTGTGTACTCTAGTACGAACGAGTATTCCAAAGCACTTGAATTCTATGAACGATCTCTTGAAATTCGCAAAATAGCTCTTGCTTCGAATCATCCAGACTTGAGTACTACCTTCAACGCCATCGGGGATGTGTATTATCAGATGGGCCAGTATTCGAAAGCGCTTGAATATTACGAAAAATCTCTTGAGATTCGTAAAACAGCTCTTCCTGCTAATCATCCTGACTTGGTGACGCTCTATAACAATATCGGTTTTGCGTACGATAATATGGACAAATATTCAGAAGCACTTGAATACTTCGAACGATCACTTGAAATTCTTAAACTAACTCTTCCTCCGAATCATCCCGACTTGGCTACCTCCTATAACAGTATCGGGAATGTATATGATAACATGGATGAATCCTTGAAAGCACTTGAATCCTACGAAAAATCCCTTGAAATTCGTAAAACAGCTCTTCCTCCAAATCATCTAGACTTGGCTGTTTCCTACAACAATATCGGCTTTGTGTATGATAAGATAGGAGAGTACTCTAAAGCGCTTGAATCTTATGAAAAATCCCTTGAAATTCGTAAAACAGCTCTTCCTCCAAATCATCTCGACTTGACTGTTTCCTACAACAACATGGCCTCCGTGTATGATAGCATGAGTGAGTACTCGAAAGCACTGGACTTATATGAACGAGCCCTTGAAATCCGTAAAATAGCTCTTCCTCCAAATCATCTCGACTTGGCTAAATCCTACACCAATATCGGGCATGTTTATTATAAGATGGGCCAGTACTCTAAAGCACTTGAATCCTACGAACAATCACTTGAAATTCGTAAGAAAGATCTTCCAATAAATGATGCTGAGTTGGCTACGTGCTACAGCAGTATCGGAAACACTTATTATAACATGAACCAGTACTCTACAGCACTTGAATTCTACGAACAAGTACTTGAAATCCGAAAATCGATTCTTATTCCGAATCATCCAGATGTTGCTGTTATCTATAAAGATATTGGAGACGTGTATGATAGCATGGGCGAGTACCTGAAAGCAATTGAATTCCATAAACGAGCACTTGAAATTCGAAAAATAGCTTTCGGGACGAATCATTCTGACGTCGCTGAATCATATAGCGACATCGGTCTAGCGTATTATAAAATAGCCGACTACTCGCAGGCACTTGCATCCTATGAGCAGTCCCTTGAAATCCGAAAAATAGCGTTCCCCGTGAATCATTCTGATCTGGCTCTCAGTTACAGGAATTTCGCAGCCTGTTGCGAGAAAATAGGTAATTATACAGTTGCTCTGAGGGCTCTTCAAAGTTGTTATGAAACCCAACAGGAAGCAATTGAAGATGAGAATGAAGATTTTGCTTTTACCTACAGCTGGTTTGGAAGAGTATATCGTAGTATGAAGAATTACCAAAAGGCACTAGAATACTTCGAGAAATGTCTTGCAATAGATATAAAAACATTAGCAGAAAATGATCCAGATGTTGCTATAACGTACAGTAATATCGGCGATATTTACCGATTAATTGGTGATCATGAAAAGGCACTTAAATATCATCGAAAAGCATTGGACATTCAAGAAAATGCTGAATGTAAACCTGTGGATTGTGCAACAACCTACATAAACTTAGGTGAAACATATCGAGAGATGAAAGATTATGAAACAGCATTAAAATATTTTGAAAAAGGAATTGAAATACGTAAAAATAAACTACCAAAAAATCATCCTGATTTAGCTGTTGGTTATCACAGTATGTCAAAATTATATATAGCTACAAGGGAATATGATGCAGCCATGAAAAATGTTCAAGAAGCCATAGTCATCGCACAAGAGAAATTACCTCCTTATCATCCACATTTGTTGGAATATAAAGAAACATTCGAAACAATACGAAAGGACATGTAGCCTTTTGCTTTTGATTTGCTAAATAAATTCACTACAATTACCACTCAACTTTGCTCTTGCACCCACAATGGTTAGGAAAACCCGTTGCCTGCTCATGACTGCGGAGATTTGGACATGGAAGTCTGGTGGAAGGGTGTGGGTGTGTTTGAATAGATGATTCAAATAAGAATCTATCAAAAGCTAGCAAGACCGGTTTTGACAAGTGCTGATGATATACTTATCAATTGCTTTTTGATATGATAAATTTTTCTCCTATTGCAAGTAGTATAGTTAGGAGTTTTAGTAGAAAAACTCCCAAGCTGATAAAACTTACATGAATATATTATCGGGTGTGGGTGTTGGTGTGGGGTGCAGGTGTTGGTGTAGGGTGTGGGTGTGGGTCTGTGAGTATGGATGTTTGAAAAGAGATACCCACACCCACATCCATACCCTACTTTCATGAATAGACAATCACTAAAACACAAGGTTCTTAGGAAATGTTTTTGCCTTTCAGATTTTCTAGAGCTCTTTTCGTTGATCATTTTGAGTAAAAACAAAAATTGAAATTTGTTCAATAAATAGTACGTTAGAGTCAAAGTGCTGACACTCTCAAACTACTGTACCTGATGGAACTAGAATGTTAATGAGTATTTTGACTCTAGTATGCTATTTACTAATCACATTTAATTTATTTTTTCACCAAAATAATCAGTGAAGAGAGCTCTAGAAAATCTCAAAGGCGAAAACATTTCCTGAGAATCTTATGTTTTAGTGATTGGCTGCTCGTGGAACATATCCAACTATGTGTCGAAAATTTAAAAATTTTCATAATTCCATAGCCTATTACACTATTTGAAATCGTAGTGATACCGCCTTGGAATAATATTATTTCCAATTCTGTAAGGTGAAATTAGGGTGTGGGTCAGAGGTACAGAATCTGCCAAAAAATCAAAAATTTTCCCAAAGCTATTTTTTCTTCGCTACTCACAGACCAACTTTATTTGACACAAAATATAAGTAAAAAAAAACATGGCAACATTTTGTTCTGGTTGTTACTGTTCGTACAACATAGGATTTTTTTCTACTTGTTCTTTTCTCAAGCGGCTAAAAACAACTGAAGTAGGTGAAACTAATTTGAATAGACGATGTTGTTCTGTTTTTTTGAAGAAAATCCAGTGTTTATCCTTCAGTTGAGAGAAGTAGTTGTTAGCAGACTGGAAAAATTTTGGAAAACTACCAGTGACAATTTTTCAAAAAATTCCACCTCTCCCCCGCGCGCGGGCGCACGAGGAATATTCTGCGCCTCAGTAAAACATCCAAGGAAGAACAATGTCTTATTTGTCTTTTACATTTTTGTTCAAATAAAACCTATTTATTGCAATGTCAAAATACACTGCATGAGAATCACAGGAGAAAAAGATTTAAAACCGAACGAACATATTCTCTATGTCATCAAATGTTACTTCTTAACCATAAATATCTCAATTTAAAATGACCTGTTTTTTCTCAAATTTCATTTCATCAGAATATTTTATTAACGCGTACATGCATATATATATATATATTCATAAATTGATGCATCAACTTATGTGTTCATTATTCGATTACATATGTACTATAGAATAGACTACATGTACTTTTGAAGCACTCTCGTCTTTTTTCTCCATATTGAGAATGAGAAGGAGACTAAGAAAAAAAATAAACGTCCTCTAAGCCATATACGGATGGTGGAGAATAATCATTGAGAAGAAGGAAAAAAGAATTTAGATATGAAATAAAGAGATGATGTTGGCAGCATAGAAGAGAAGGTCTCAGCGAAATAACGACGAACGAAACTTTATGAATTGATCGAAGGTAAAAAAAAAATAAAAAGAGAAAAAGACAAGAACGATAGAAGACTGAACGAGGAAATGTAAGTTGTATCGTATAAAGAAAGGTCATGGTCTTATGAAGAAAAAAAATTCTATTGAGTAGAAAAGAAAAAAAAAGAACGGAATACAATTTTTTTTTGTTTGACATACAAAGCGACAGAAAAAGAACTGAGGGGTAGAAAAATTGAATATCTACGTCGAACACTATGACTTTCGTCTCTTGTTCTCAACTAATATTTATATTACTATTAATAATCTATTGTATTATTGGCAAGTATAACCTAAACATCTTATTATTACGAACTATACTTATACTCTATCATAAATAGAATCGAATGCAAATCGTCATCGACGTCAAATAATTGATGGTACGAATCCTAATGTACGTATTCCACAACAAAACTTTGGTGGACCGATATCATTAAGTAATGTTCCATTAAATTCATTAAATAATCCGAATATAGTCATATCTAATGAACGAAATAATCTACAACAATTCAATACTAAAAATAATCCTCCAATAATAGCATCTCAACCACAAGTAGAACCAGTTCGTAGTCATGGATTTTATAATAATCCATCATTTCAACCATCACCATTTACTGGTGCAAAACCTTTAGGATGGTTTGGTACAAATCGTATTAATTGGGTATCAAATCGAGATAGTGAATTAGATAAAAATAAGTTAGCTGTACAAAAAAATCCACCATCATCAACTAAGTAAATCAAGTGTTTTTTTCTTTTCTAATAATTTTTCTTTTCCTATTTCAAATAAGTCCTCAAACTAATATTATTCAACCACGAAAAGATGGTGGACCACTTTTTCTTGAAAAAATAGCTCAACAATATGCAAGTAAAGGTCAAAAAGCATTCAATTTTGGTCAATTTGAAAGTAAAGAAACTTCATCATATAAAAAAAGAAAACGAAAAACAAATGATTATATAAATGCTTTATTTTATTGTTAGCTCATCAAGGTCGTGGTTCAGTTTGTTCAAATCATGAAAATTTTGGTGGATTTGTATTTGGTATATTTTCATGTCCATTACCAGCAAATACAGGTATGAATCAACTTGATCAATTTTGTTGTGGACCTGCTAATTATCAATATTGTTGCAATGCTCAGTTCGTATTCTTAAAAGATTATTTTATAATCTTTTGTTCTTTTGTCTTTTTTAAAATTTATATCAATAGAGAATTCAGTCAATCACAACGTGGTGCCTTTAGTGATAATAGATTTATTGATAGACAAGGTTTTTCAACACGAACAGATTTTTCACCATCAACAAAACAAATACTTGCAATTATTTCACCTATTGGTAGTTTTATTGTTTTAGTAGGAATATTTACTTTAGTAATTTTATATTATAAAAAAATTCGAAAAGAACAAAATAGAATTGGAAAACTAGCTGGAGCTATTCGTTTAGAAGATAATTATTCAAGTAAATATATATTAAAGAAAAATAATGAAAAAAAAAAGAATTGTTTTCTTTTTCTTTTTTTTCTTTCAGTTGTTCCTCAAGAACCACCAATGGAAAAATCTATATTTCCTCAAAACGAACAATTATAAACGAATAATTCATCAGGCTTTTTTTTTTTTGTTTTTTTTTCTTTATTTCATTATGTATATTTTATCTAAGTTTTTGATAGCTAGTCTTAATATATTCATTATTCTTGAACAGTTCTTGTATATGGAACTTTTTTCTATTTGTATCTAAGTTTTGTTTTTTGTTTAAGAATAAGTATTTCTTTTTCTTTGTTTATTTTAATTATAATAAAATTATCTTTTTAATAAATTAATTATTATGTTGTATAACATTCATTTGTTTGAATATTGAAAATTTTCTAGTAGAATAGTTTCAATCTTAGGAATTATTGAAAACGCATGTAATCTGAACTGAGAACCGATCGATTCCTATGGGAAAATTACATCAGATATCAATCATATAAATCTCATTTATTTATTATATAATTTGCTTCTTAATTTATATGAAAACATACATAATATTAAATGAAATTTAATTTAATGTAAAATTCTTTCTTTTAATGCTTTATAATGTAATTGACGATCTTTTTCAGCTTTAGCAAATATTGCTCGATTTTCTTGTGCACGTCGAGTTAAATAAGGTAAAAGACGATGTATTGGTCCATATGGTGTTAATTTATAAGCATCATAACCAACAGCAGCTATATAGACAGAAAAAAAAATCCCAGACAACAGATATGTATTTTATAAATAATTAGCAATAAAAAAAAATTCTTTACCTAACGGAAATGTAAGATAATCACACATACCAAATAAAGTAGCAAAAGAAACAAGACCATCATCACGTTTAATATTCATTAAATCCATCCTGAAAAAGAAATTTATTAGCAAAAAAAATTGTTTTTTCTTTTTTTGATTTGAATTAGAAATATACGTTTTAAGTGCAAATTGAACTGTATTTTCATTATGACTAGCAACAAATATATGAACTTTATTAGGATTATTTTTAGCATTTTCAAGTGTTTCAACAAATGCACGATGATAAGATTCTGTTGTAGCTAAAAAATTTGGATGAATTGGATCAATAATTTTCATTTCAGCAGCTCGTTTTCGTTCCTAAAAGTTAAGATATATATACTAATTTTTGTCTCATTAAAAGATAAAAGACAAAATAAATAATCAAATAAGTACTTGATCCATATAAGCACCGCGTACAAGTTTAAATCCAATATGAAAATTATTAGTTTTTGATCGTATTAAATCCTGTTGTAATAAATTCAAAGTAGTCTAATATAAGAAACAAAATAAAAAAAGAAAAAGATTCATAAATTAAAATTTTCCATTTAATTTATTTACTTTTCGATAACATTGATATGTATTATAAACAATTAAATTATCTCGATTGTATTGTTCTTGTAATTCAAGTACTAATCTATGAATAGCTGTTTGAAAATATGATTGTTCAGCATCAATAAAAATTCTTCCATTATGTTTTTTTACTTCCTAAATAATTTTTTAAAGAAATTTTAATTGAATAAGATTTTTAAAAAATACTTGAATAATACGATTTATTCGTTGTATGAGATGTTTTACTTCAGTTAGTTCATCTTTATTCATCTAGAAGAAAGTATATCTCATAATACTAAAACTAAGAAAAATAAATATTATTTACTGTAGATGTATTTGATATGAATTCAAGAATAGAAAGTTTGGTTGATGGTTGTTGTTCTTCTAAAATTTGATTTAATTTTTGAAGAATATCCGGTGGAACAAATGCTGTTATTTTCATTGCTATCATTGCCGATGAACCATATAATTCAGCTGCTGTTTGAACATTTTTAATAGCTTTCAACAAATTTTCATTATATATATTTTCATTTGAAGGATTCAATATTGATGAATTTATTTTTTGTCTAGATGATATGAAGACGATAACAAAACACAAAATATTCAAATTAGAAAAATATAAAATTAATCTTTTAAATAACAGACTGATTATTATTGCTTGATATATCTGATTCCATGCAATAGTCAAGTATTAGTTTAACACCATGTTTACGTAATCTTTCTGTAATTGGTTTTAATTCAGTTTTATTTGTACCTGCAACAAAATGTCCATAAATTGTTGAACGCATTATATATTCAAATAATCGTTGACCAAGAATAGTACGTGAAATATTAAATAACTATATATATATTTAGAAAATAAAATAAATTTGATATTTATGCTTTGATTTACTTGAGAAAGATTATTGACCAGTGATGAATATGAACATAATTTAAATACAAACCATCCACGAAATAATTCACTTTTTGATTTATGTCCATAAGCAGTAGCACTTGAATCAAACTTGACTTTTTCATGATTGTTTTTTGAATTTGATGCTAATAAACGAACGAAACATTGTGTAGTTTGCACATTTTGTAGTTTATATTGCCTAATCATTTTCAATAACATATTTGAATATATTCTACTCGTTTTTTTTTCCTATTGACTACACTTAGACACCTATCGTCTACTTGTTTTTTGTCCTTGATAAAAAGTATATGATTGCATCATTCGTAAATGTATAGCAAGGCATCACAAGTAAATATTGCTTTTCATGATAACATAGCTTGTATTTTAAATGCCGTCATATTCTATGAAAAGTCAAAATCTGATTGTAAATACGATGTGTGTGCATATACATCATAGATGTATTTTATTAAGAAGAGTTTGTTATATCAACAATACAGGTAATAATCAAAAAAAGAATTGAATGAAGAAAAAACAGTTAATGCTTAGATTTAAATATTCGATCTTTTAATGCTTTAAAATGAAAACGTCGATCTTTATCAGCTTTTGCAAAAATTGCTCGATTTTCTTGAGCACGTCGAAATAAATATGGTTGTAATACTTCAATTGGTCCATATGGTAAATATTTATATGTTAAATAACCGGCATGAGCTAAAGCAAAAGCAACATAATCACTCATTCCATAAAGTGATGCAAATGAAACAGTTGGTGAATTATGAGGAATATTATAATCTTTCATTCTAAATTAAATTAAAATCTACATCGAGAAATAAAAAAAAATATTTTATTCTTACTTTTGTATTGCATATCGAATAGTATCTTCATTATGTGAAGCAATCATAATTCTAATTTGATCAGATTGACGTTGAAGAGTATTTTTTAATACTTCATCAAGACATGTATGATACATTTGTGATGTTATTTCAAAACTTGGATTTATTGGACTTTCATATCCATATTCTTGAGCTAAACGATTTTCTTGTTCCATATATGCACCTCGTACAAGTTTAGCTGCAAATATATAATTATATTTTTCTGCAAGAGTAAGATCATGTTTTAAAGAATCCAATGTATCCTATTTATCATTTTGAATAATAATAAAACAAATAAATAGAAATCTTTTACTTTTAATTTAATAATCATTTACTTTTAAATAACATTGATAAGTTCCATAAATATAAGGTATATTTGATTTATTATAATATCGTTGTAATTCAGTTGCAAGATAGTTAATTGCATTTTGAAAATATGATTGTTCAGCATCAACCATAATCGAAATTTGATATTTAAGACATGCCTAGAAAGTATATGTTTTAGATAAAATTAAACAGCAAATCGTTATTTTTTATACTTGAGCTATATTATTTAAACGTATAAGAAGATTATAAATTTCTGTTAAATCATCAGGCACGAGTGTAACCTTTGAAGATTTTTGATTCTAAAAGTATGAACAAAAAAAAAAAAAAAAAAAATTATTCTTCGATTAAATATACAAAGAATTTTCTAATTAATAATTTTTATCTACATCAAATTACCTGATTGTTTATTAAATGTGTATTAATAGAATCTTGAAGAAGAACAACTGCTTTATTATTTGTTGGTTGTTGATTAATTAATTCAAATAATGGTGGTAATGACGAATGATTTTTCATCGATTGTAATATTGTATTAAATTTTTTTAATACATTTGGTCGAACTAGAGCAGTTACTTTTATAGCAACTAAATTATCTGGACCACAAACATCATGTGATGTATGAATACATTCAATAAATTTAGTTGCATTCTGATCATGCATATGATCAACTTGACTTGACCTATGGTGTATTGATCAATAGTTTCAAAGGAAAAAAATTATTCAATAATCTTACGAAACTAATGGAATGTGATCATCACTTTCTACACTATAGTCTAAAATAGGTTTGACATGATGATGTTGTAATCTTTTAATAACAGGTTTTATTTCTTGTGGAGTTTCACCACCAACAAAATGACCAAATGCAGTTATTTTAAATATAGTTTTAAATAACCAATTACCAAGAATTCGTCGACCCCAATAAGCAATCTATATTAATTTTATAAATTGAAATTTATTATTTATATTTTTACTTTAAAAATTTTACTTTATCTTGATGATTAACAAGAAAATTTATTGAAAATATTCGAAAAACAAGATAACCACGTAAAAGTTCCATATCATGTCGATAACGATAAGCTATTCGATATTGATTAAATCTTGTATCAAGTGCTGGATGTTGTACATGAGTTTCTTGTTTTTTATTTTCATTCGTTGTTGAATCAACTTTAGTCGATAGAAAATAAATTGATTGAGGAGATAATTTTAAAGTTCGACATAAACAAATAGTCGAAACTGACGGATAAAAGTGTTTAATCTTAAATATAAATATTCATTTTCATTCATTTTCAAATACTTGAATCAACTTACCGTTAACATAAAAATCCTTTTTCTTATATTGAATAAAATTATAAATAAAAACGTACGCAATTTCTTTTTCTTCAAATATATATATACTATAAAAATAGCTTATACGTATCAAATAAAACGACGAGAGAGTAGTTATATAAATAACTTGCACAAATCGTGCTGAATCATATGCCAGACGTAGATGATGAATGAAAGAAAAAAAAGAACAAGAAAAATCAACTACTACGTCTTTATACAATAACAAAAAAACAACATGTGGTTTTTCATGATACCTATCAAAACGTAGCCTGCAATATCAAGAACCAAACGAAATAAAACAAATATTCGTGAACTACCATAGTACTACTATTGAATATAACAAAGAATTCATATGCATTTTCATAGGAAATAATGTTGCTACAAACATGCAATTCTTTTCTATCAACTTTTTTTGTTCTAAAAAAATAATCCTTTCTCCATTGTGTCATTCACACTAAATTCCATTTAATTTTTTGTTTTTCAATGGATAGAACAATAGAATAACAAGAAAATAATAAAAAAAAAGAAGAAATGTTTCATATTAACAAAAACATATAGAAAACATACATTTACAAATATGAGCGGAACAATAAATCAATTTGGTCTTCATACTATTGAATATACTCTACGACAAAAACGTTTAGAAGATCCACTTTATATAGCAGCACATCCAGAATCTCTTTCAGAACAATGTGACTAACAAAAATAACACAAAATTTCTATGATTTTGATTATTTTCTATTTCTAGCTCGATATTCTTTTGCACATAATACACCATATGATAGTTGTACTACATCATCACCATTAACACGTCCTCCTATTGATATTGTTTATGCTGATCAATTAGCAAATAATATATGGTCAAAACCAAGAGAAGATTCACCAAGTATATTTAAATCACGTGAAGGAGAATGGTTTGATAATCCAAAATTACGACATACTCTTGAATTAAATTCACCTTATGTACCATATGGTGGTTATGTTCATCCAAGACAACAAACTAAATGGGAAGATCTTTCAGCACTACCACCAGAAGTTTCTAAACAAAAACAACGAGAAAAATTTCCTGTAGTCCTTAGTTCAATGACAAAGTAAATTAATAAGTTTTTCTTTATATAGATATATATTTTTTGTTTTTTGAATTTTAATTTTGTTTTTCTATTATAGATATGTAGAAGAAATGAATTTGATGGAATTTGGTTTCAAATTATATTAAATACAAACAATTAGATGTAGATATTAATAAATATACACATTTATTATAGAAATGAAAATGCACATATCAAATAAATTTAATTTGAAAGCTTGTTTGTTTTTTCACATAAAATTAATTAAATAAAATTCATGTACAGAATAACGAAAACTTTCAATTATTTAATATCAAAAAGATAATAGATTGTCTATTACTAAGAATTTTATGCCTCTGATCACTTTTAATGATTAAAAGAAGCTGTCTCTCGTCCAGTAAACACTATCTAATTGACAAAGTCAAAAAAAAAATGCTCCTGCCAATATATTGACTTTGCCGAAAAGCGTTCGGATGCATTGCTTTTTTTGAAACACAGCTGAATATATAGTTATATGGGTTGTATCTTCATTGGTATGTTATTGTGATAGGAGGAAATACTGTGCGTGATGATATTAAGTTTAGAAGATAGTAGCTGAATGCAAAAAGAAGGTTACTTTTTTTTTTATAGTTCATTTGGATAAACATATGAGCTTTCTATTAACTTTGTTGAATAAGAATAAGAAGCCGAAGCATATGTCTATGAATGATTCGTTATAATTCATATGTCAAGAAGGATAGTTTTGACAAATATTTCTTTAAGTTTTCAATCGATGATAATTATCTTGTTTTCGTTATTTCTATATGTAGTAATTCTGAATCACACAAACTGATCTAAGTTTATAATAAGGATCTGAGTAGTAGATTCTATGTGAAAAGCTATCTATTTCTATTGAAATTAGAGTAACTCAATGATACTTCTTTTTCTGATCATGTTGTTCATACATAGGCTATAAGCATTGTCATTTAATATGTTTGAACGCGTTCAAAAAAATCAAACATGTCAATATTCGTTCATGCTAAAAATACCTTAATATACATTTTTTGACTTTTCTACGTGACGATTCTGTTATGAGATAAATACGTTTACTTTATTCTCAAAAAAACGTCAAAAAATAACTATATCATTACTATGTGTGTCGAAACCGAACCGGATTCTAACATTCAGACTGCATCTCTATCATTAAAATTTAATCAAATTGAATTTGATTTAATAGATTCATCATATTAAATGGGTAATCCTATCATATTGGATTGTTATTGATTCATCTCTTATTGAAAATATTAAACTGTATGTCTCGCTTTACATTACAATCTAAAACATTTCGAAATACGCACATAATAGATTATGTTCTTAAAACTTTTATTATAAATGTCATCATCTCTTACCTGGATAAAAAAAATAAATTCTATGAATATGTGGCTTTTATTTTCAACTATTTCATTTTATCTGAATTTTACAAGAATTTTTTCAAATAGACGTGTTGGCTTATCTTTATTGTTATTTGTAATAAAGAATGAATAAAAATAAAACTTCTATATTTATACCTTAAAGATAAATACAATAAAAACCTTTTTTATTACTTCGAAAATGAAGACAGTGAAATAAAAAACGAGGCTTTTTGAATAAAAAACTAATACTTGATTTTTCTAGATATCTCAAAAAATTATGATATCATAATTACCAAAAAGTCTACTGACAAAATTTTTATGTATATATCGTTTCCTTATGGTGTTCTCAGTTTTTAACAATATCAGATATTGAGATGCTACGAAGTACTAATAAAAACAGTTCATTTATTCTGTTATACTATATATTTATATATTTTTGTTTATCACATAGGAAGATCTTTACTTTATTTTGTAATTTTTATTTTTTAAAAAATAAATTTTTTTCTTTTTTATCTTTGTTTTATAAATATAAAGAAAATATTATCTCAATTTTATGAGAATAAATATCTTATTTACATTTAAGTCGCGAAGTAAAGATAAATCAATATATCTATTCTGAAACTTCTAACAAGTAATATTATACGTGTTCTTGATGTGATTCATGAACATAGAAATAAGTTCAACCTGTGTATAACTCAAAGCTAGTTGTGTTTGGTTTGTACTCGACTTATCGTAGTTCTAAATCTTGATTCAGATTGTTATTGGAAAAATTACCACTCTATTGCTGATAAGATTTGAATGTTACATCATAGCTCGCTATTGTACGTCGGTTCGATTCCGACACAAAATGATGGTTATTTTTCAATTTTGTTTTTTGGGAAAAAAGTAAATGCGTTTATCTCATAACCGCATTTAAACTCAGCAAAACTCGAAAACGCATCATAATTCATCTTCAACATAGACGAATTTATACGTGTTCACACGCCTGAAAATATTACACTTTGCCCATATTCAAACCCGTTAAGTTGCATAACTTATAAACGCTCAGGGATATGTTTAAAGTCTAAAAATGGTTACATGAATAACTTCATATTTGTAAATAAAATTATTAATTGAAAGTTTAAGAAAAAAATATTATACAAAGAAATGATCTATAGTAAACTTTTTTTTTCGATACATTTTTCATTACAATATTGAAAAAAAAACAATTGAATATGGCGCCTAACTGTTGTATAAAATAAATTTCTATATCATATAACAATAGCAAAACATAAGATTGCAAAATCAAAATATTAACAATATTCATTGGAATGATTTTATATCGATAAAAATAATATGTCAAATCGAAGTTTCTGTGGATCGAACAAATTTTTACAGAATTATCGACCAAGAAATTCTACATATGATTATGATCGTTGTAAATTACCAGCTATTAATAATGGAATAACAACAATGTCTAATATGAATTCATCTATTTGTAAATCACCATTAATACGTTCTTGTGTACCTCAAATAAATGAAAATTGTTCAACTCAATATTCAAATCTTTACAAAAATAATTGTAATACTGGAATTACAAATAATTTATCTACACAAATTAATTGTACATCATCTGGACCAGCTATTTACAATGCTCGAACACCTTCATATAATAATTGTAAAATAAATTGTCCATCTCGTGGTAGTGCATCATTACAAACATTTTCTTCACCACTTTCAACATCAACTATGTATAATGATATACAACAAGCACCAGTTAATAGATGTTGGTCTTCAAATCAATTTATTGGTTGTGATAAAACAAATACAACGAATACGGATTTAAATAAAAATTCAATAATAGATCAAAGTAATAATTGTCCACAACGATCGATGATATCAGGTTCAAATGGTTTCAATTGTTCTCAATCAAATTTAAATATATGTACTGGACAAAAAACAATTGTACGTGATCGTCATTTAGCTAATGAAATCCTTCAAAAAGCAGGTATATCATCAAATATAACTTCAAATGATTGTCTTGAAGTAATAACTGATACACCTGTAACAATAAATGATAACGTCAATTGTGATCCAGATCCATTATGTATGAAAAAACCAGCTGATTGTCAAGTAATATTAAATTATTAATTGTAAAATTTTTTGTTTTTCATTTTTATCATTGTTTCGAGGAATGTTATGAACAATCAATTGTTGTTCGACATTTACAACCGTAATTATTCGTTTCTTTTTTTAAATTTTATTTATTGAAATAGTTTGTTTGTTTTTTTTTTTGTATATGTAGACCACGACCTCCAGTACCACCACCAATTATTATCCGGTTCGAATAATATTGATATTTCCTCTTTTTTTTGTTTTTGTATTCATAGATCATAATTTATTTAGTGAACGTTGTGCACCACAACCACCACCACAACCCCCTATTGTCATTCGACAAATTCCTCCTCGACCATCAACACCACCACCATTAATTATTCGTGAATGTCCACCACCGATGCCTGCTTTACAAGAACCAACAATAATTGAACGTGAAGTTCCTCCACCACCACCACCGCCACGACAAGTTATTGTCGAACGTTTACCAACACCACCACCAAAACCACGTTCAATTATTTTTGAAAAATGGCTTCCTTATGAAGAACCTGAAGATCGACCATGTATTGTTGAAAAAGTTACTACTAATGAAATACCACCACCAAAAAATCTTATTATTCAATATGAAGCACTTGAACCAAGAATTCAATCACAATGTATTAATGAAGGTATTTCTTGTGTTGATCCAAAACAATTTGTGAATGATACACTACCAAATGGAAATGCTGAAATATGTTATGTTGATCAACTTCATAATTTAGTTAGTATTGAAATTTATTTATTCTTTTTTTTTGTGTCTTTTCAATTGAAAATTTAATCAATCATTATAAATTTAAAATTTCAGCCTGATCATATAAAATGTCAACTTAGTCCACAAGCACTTGCTGCTATTGGTATTAAAAATAATAATAATAATAAAGAAATTCCTAGTAACAATCCATGTGTCGTTCGTACTAATCCACCTTGTTTCTATCAACAACAAACTCGTATGGGATGTCCTTCAATACGTCCTATGTCATCTCGACATTCAATGATGACGAATGCTTATCATTCAGCAAAATCATCCTATTCTCAATTGTGTAATTCATCAATGTATCGTCAACAACAACAACAACAACAACCAAGCAATCGTATTCTATCAACATCATCTGTTTGTTTACCTCAATGTTTTAATAAATATAATACAAATATATTAGCACGACCAGGCAATCAAGGTTTAACCAATATAACTCGAGGACATTATAATCCAGTTTGTTAAAAATAAAATTTCGAATGATATATTTATCTAAGTTTTACTTTTCTACTATAGTGGGCAACAACATATCAAGTTTCATATACAAATAAAGCACGAGGAATGTGTCGTACACGTTAACTGATATATTTTTTTTGCTGAACTCTCTATGTACATATTACGATATGAATAAATAAGTAGTTGAATTTTTCTTTTAACAATAAAAAAAAAAAAAAAGATTAAAACATCAATTTGTTGTCAAAAATGATATGAATGTATATTATTCTTTAGATTAATTTTCAACAACAAAAAATATCTATTTTCATCTTTTTCTCATTAGTTATTCAATATTGATAATAATTATAATATACAAGTATGCGATGAAACATTTTTTTTCCTAATAGTATATCACCGTTAATATTAAGAATATTTTTATCTATTTCATTGTGATCGAAATGACGAAATCTAGATATATATTCATTAAAATGAAGTTATTTTGACGTTTTTATTTATTTAATGAAATTTATGAATAATCATAGAAACCCACATATTCTCATATTGAATTTGAACAAAATAAAACAGAGTTTTATAAAAATTAATTCAATCTAATATTTTATTTCATTAAACCCATTAACTCTTTAATATACAGAACTGGACCAAATGCATTGAATCTTTTAATCGCTGATAGAGGAGTGTTCATGAGTTATATACACAATAAAAAAAATTTAAAAGAACTATTTTAAAATACTATCTTTGATCTCAATAAAAATAATGTTCGATATGTATAATTTTTCCGATTAATGCTTCAAACTATGTGTGTTGTATCTCAAATTTATACTATTGTATGCATGTCTTGTTATTCAGTGTACTCGGAAAGTTTCAGCCATAAATAACTAAGATTTATTGAGAAAACTGCAATACTTTTTTCATAACTCGTTGGAAATATTCAAATTTTTCTTCGACAAAAACGATTTTTTGACTCGCCTTCTATTTAAATTTTGACAAGAAAAAATTCTATGCACATCCTATATGACTTATTCGATTTTGTAGAAGATTAAATCATTTGTATAAACAAAAGAGTCAATCGTTCGTCAGGAAGTCATGAAATACCAAGAACATTTGCTTCATCATTCATTTTTTTTTCAACAAACATTGCACGTAATAAAAAAAAGCTTATCTTGGTTAGATGATCGATTGTATCTAGCATATAAACATGCTTTTTTTGTCTTCTTCAATCCTTCATATGATTTTATGACTCATAAGAAAAATTAATAACTAATGATGGATTATATATCAGAAAGTATTGAAGAGATTAAAAAAGAAAAGACTAGAAATAATTTCATTCTGCTAGATAGATTTATATATTTGAATTCAGAAACTAATTAATTTATGATTATATACAATATATACTTAATTATCTCTGTTGTTTCTTCATCTATATGACTCCCACTATCGTGACCTTGTTCTTACTATAAAATTGTCATAAATTCTATCATTTGAATTAATATGATTCCTTCATAGCTATTGTGTTCGTTAAATAGATTTAACTATTTCAGTAAGTTCATTTGCACTACAATCGGATCAAGATTAGTTACTTTGTGTATGGGATTATTTTAATTTCAATCTATTCTATCATAGGTATATAGTAATCCATTATTATAAAGAGCAATATAACATGTGTATAATAATGATAAAATCATATGTAAAATTTTCGGTGATTTCTTTTTTCGATAAATGTCAATTGTGACCAGACTTGAGATTAAAGTTGTATTCTCAAATCATCGATTATTTTTTAGAATTAAGTTTATTCCCTTCCTAGATTCTGTCAAGTCTTTATGATGAAAGATTTGATCGTGTATAATAAATACATATATGTAAGTCGATATATTATATTTAAAAAATTCAAAACAGAAAAATATTTTCTTAGAAAAGAAGACATTAGATCTTTTCGTATTTTTTTATGAATCAAAAATTGAAAATTCTTGTTATTAAGTAGCGACATCTGAATGAACACTTATGCATTTTAAATGGTTATTTGATCATAATGACTCGAAAATTTTATAAAAACATTCATATTTATATTCAATATTTCAAAAGAATAATGTTTAAATAAAAAAAAAATCTTTTCATTTTATTGAAACATCAAATTAGAGTCTATTTATTGTCTAATATACATTGATAATGGTAACATTTATTGTGTTATTGATGTTTCTTTCAGAGATACATTAGTAGTCTTTTGATTATATTCAATTTTGTTTTTATCAATATATAATTTTAAAAAAGAACGAATCTCGAAATTAATTTACATCAATTTTTTATTACATTTATTATCGACAATAATTTTTTTTCGAAAAATTCAAATCTCAAATTTATTCATTTTTAATCACAATACGAGCTTCATTATATAACGAAGCTCAAATATAGTCACATTAGGTAAGTTTTATTGGTTTCTTCCTTTTTTTTTATATTAATTCATTAATAGTTATTAATGAGATCAATCTATTATAATTAGAAAATATATTATTAGCTTAGATCAATATTAATAATATTAAAGTTTGATTGATTAGTAAGAATCTTGTAATTGTATGAATTTCTGTTCTTAAAAAGAAAAAAGCAGTATATATATGTGAACAAAAAAAAGTGATGCTCTCTTAGAAACGGTTGTAATGTTTGAAAAAAGAATCATCTAATTTTAATTGTCATGATTATTACAAATCTATTCAATTAATTGATATCATTTTCAATATTATCAAATGTACATATTCCAATTAGATCGAGTAACTTTATTTAGCCTTTTTTTAGTTTTCTTTTTTTTTTTTTGTGTCTTTCTGATTTTATTTGATGATATAATGATAGAGAAAAACCAGCAAAGTTCTTTTATAGAAAATAATGTTTAACTTGTAAGTGAATTGATTCCATCTGTTGGATATATTTATATATATATATATATATCTTTGATATGAAAATAATTCGTAAAAAAAAATGATGTTTGAACGACATCACATCTGTCATTATCCCACACAAATCTCTGCTTGCTAGCTTGTTTCTCTTATCAACAAGCGACATATATATATATATATATTCTTAACTTTCTTATTCTTGTTCTTCGTCTTTTTTTTCTTCGTCGTCTTGTTCTTCCTTCTTGTTCACTCGTTAATTCATCTTCGAAATTGGGAGGGAACTGCGTGTCAAACCCGTCACTCGCGGCGTCATCATTGTCGGGTATACGACGCTATTCCTCAAAAAAAAAAAAAGAAAGCCGACTAAGTAACAAGAGAAAAGATGACTGAGAGTGAAGAGTAGTAGAGTGTCGGATATAGAGAGAAAGACAGCAATAAGAGACAAAAAAGATAGAAATCCAAGAGGATTATTTTCTTCACCTTCATATTATTATAGTGAGAGCATTTATGTTTTCTCTCTCTCTCTCTCTCTCTCTCTCTCTTTTATCTTTTTTGGTTCAATTGAAACATAAAAAAAACAAAGTTATGGTGTATGCATCTTTAAGTTTCTGTTTTCCATTAGAATGATGATAGATGATGTATTTGAATACGATCTATCTTACATCATGCATACTATTTTATCTCATTAGACAATCATATTTGCTATTGGTATTGAGCAAAAATAATGATGATGGACATTGGTCTATTTGTCTATTCATCATTTGTTAGTGTGATGCCTGTTATCAAGTGGATTCCTTCTTCTCTTTCTTCTTTTCTGTTGGTTATTTCTTCTTTCTTTTTAGTGGTAATAATGCTAGATGTGGCAGAGAATAGACGCGACTGCAACAGAATGATAGAAAGATAAGAACGACGCCAAAAGGGTTTATGTCTGTATGTGTGTATTTTTTAACAGACCCAAACGTGTTTCTTTCGTTCTCTCTTTCTCTTTCTCTATGGTATTCGGTGCTCGTCGTCGTCATCGCACCAAGTAATCATTACTTCCTGTTCTCCTGGCTAACGTCGAGTTGAGCTCTTAATGGTATACAACAGTAGTTCCTAACATTACTCTTGTTCTTTCTTTCTTTCTTTCCTTCTTCCTTCGTTTTTTTTTCGAATAAAACCGACTAGTTCGCATTACTAGAATTATGATTATAGGAAAGCGAACAGCGGCGGTAACGACGGCGAAGTCGGTCGTTGTTGATAGTGTGCCAGCGAGAGAGGACTGGAAAGAAAATTATCATCAACAATAGAGCTGTTCATCAACATCGTATCATCATCATTGCTGGCTGACTGGTCTGGACCCGACTCTGACGTGCATTCGCGTTCTTTCTTTCTTTCTTTCTTTCTTTTTCTTTTCTTTTCTCCTGTTTCTCGTCGCTCGGAAAAGAAGGAAGATCTTCCATCTATATTCTAAACGTACTGCCATCGCTCTTTTTCCTCTTCGTTTTTTTTCCTCACTCTATTACTGCCATATACACGCAGACTTTTTCCTCTCGGTTGCCGCTGCTAGTCGGCCAAACTTTTCTCTTTGTTGTGTTTCACCCACCCCGTCCGTTCGCTCGCTCGCCCGAGCAGCAACAGCAAGCAGTAACGTCGTCGACAGATCGTCGTTTTTCTTTTTTTTTTTGCTTCTCAGTTTTTTTTTTTTTTTTTTTTTTTTTTTTTGAAAAACTGAAACAAACCAGTAGTCGTGCGTGTATGTGAGTGTGTGTGTTTGTTATTTTGCCACATCGTAGAATTGTATGCATAAATGATAGAATTTCAGACAAAATCATATTTTTTCTACAATGTACGCACGTATTAAACGGAAAATATTATATGAGAAACAATACGACAATCAACATTATTATCGTCATTTAAATTACTATATCAATGATCACGTCTGTTGTTCATTATTATTATCTTCTTGATGGTCATTCTTAATTCTTCTATTTTCTATCATACAATAAAACAGATCAAGTAAGATATATATATACATACAAAACAAAAACAAACACAAGAACAAAAAAATAAAGAATTTTTTTTTATTGTTTGATTTTTATTTTTAATACTCATTTATATATTCCTGTATGTTGTCATTGCCTGTACAATAGAGATTGACAAGCCTTCTTCATTGTATATGTGTGTGCGTGTAGGGGGTACCATCATTGTCGTGTAAGAATAACATATTGGAGAAGAAAAGAAATTACGCGAGTGCGTCACCCATTTCAAGCAGAGAATAATACACACGCGCATGTATACCATCATCCTACACTGCTATCGCCATCATCGATGATGGTGGTGGCGATGGCAGTAGCAGAAAGCAGTAGTAGATAGTACACACACACATTGACTGTCACACAGTCAGCATCATCAATGTCGTCGCGCAAGATGAGACATAAAAAAAAAAAACGAGAGAGGGAGAGAGAGAGAACGAGCAAGAGCTATCGTGACGCACGCACAACTAACATCATCGTCAGTGAGAAAACACCAAGAGGCTTTCTCAGTTCGTTGCATTTTTTTTAGCGATTTTCACCGTTGAAGATTTTGTTTGATTCCATTAAATACTACAGAAACGTGTTGTTTTCCTTCCTTGAAATAATACTTATTTCTCACGCACATCACACGATTAGATTATTGAAGAAAAAAAAAACAAGCTTTTTTTCTCTTTGATAAAATTCCATTTATATAAAGATATTTTTCAATGACAATAAGAGTGAGATTACATTTTCAAATATTAATAATAACACCTGATAAATACGGGAAGAATCCATAATTATCTTTATGTTTCACATTATTCAATTAAATCTATATTAAAAGAAACTAATGGTACTATAAAAACCTGTTCAATACTATTTACATTCATCAATCACATGTTATTTTCATCATAATACACCTAAATTATGTTATTTTTTGACTAAAAACTTATCATTTTGTTCAGATTAGAAATAATCATTGATAAGTAAAATTTTTTTGCTATTTTAAGTTAGAGATATATGTATAGCATAAGTTTTCAAGGTAAAGTAAAAATGGATGATATTATTTATTGAATTTTTTAATCTCGTAGAAACAGATAGTTAAAATATTTTTCATTTTAGTGATAGATTTTTTTAAATGAAATATTAAATATTTTATTTTATTATAGGTTTGTTCAACAGTCAAAATTAGCAATTAAATTAATTTTTCTCCTTATTTTCCCATTGTCTTATCCCTTATCTTTTTATTAATAATAAATATTAAATCAATATGAGTGACATTGAAAGTTTACGTCAAGAAGCCGAGTCGCTCAAAAATCAAATACGTGTATGTAGCAATAAATATTTATTTAATTTGTTCTATTTTAACAATGTTATTTTTTTTTTTCTATAAAGGATGCCAGAAAGGCAGCTTGTGATGCTACTCTATTACAAGTAGCACAAAATGTCGATCAGATTGGTCGTATTCAAATGCGTACAAGACGAACTCTTCGTGGTCATCTTGCCAAAATTTATGCCATGCATTGGGGTTCGGATTCAAGGTTAGTATCTTTTTTTTTTTTTTTTTGTTAGATCATATATATATTTTATTGTCTTTCTTCTTTTAGTTCCTCTTCTAGAAATTTAGTATCAGCTTCTCAAGATGGAAAACTCATTGTATGGGATTCATATACCACGAACAAGGTATGCAAAGAAAAAATAAAAATTTGACTATTTTTCTATTAAATATTAGGTTCACGCTATCCCACTACGTTCATCATGGGTGATGACATGCGCCTATGCACCATCTGGAAATTTTGTAGCTTGTGGTGGTCTTGATAATATTTGTTCAATTTATTCATTAAAAACACGTGAAGGCAATGTACGTGTTAGTCGAGAATTACCCGGTCATACGGGATATTTATCATGCTGTCGTTTTCTTGATGATTCTCAAATTGTGACAAGTTCAGGCGATATGACATGGTTAATATTAAATTAATTATTTCTTATATCAATTATAGGAAAAAACGTATTTTCTTTTTTTTAGTGCTCTGTGGGATATTGAAACTGGACAACAAACAACTAGTTTTCAAGGACATACAGGTGATGTTATGTCACTTTCATTATCACCCGATATGAAAACATTTGTTTCGGGTGCATGCGATGCCTCTGCCAAAGTAATTGAAATAATTAATTAATTTGATTATCATTTTTATTGTTTTATTTTTATTGATTAGCTTTGGGATATACGAGAAGGCATGTGTAAACAAACATTTCCCGGCCATGAGTCGGATATCAATGCTGTTACTGTATGTTAATCGATCTTTCGATATATATATAGAGAGAGAGATAGCGAGAGAAATTTTTTTGTGTATTAGTTATACAAATTATTCATCTATTCTTTTTTTTTTTATTAATAATAGTTTTTTCCAAATGGATCGGCATTTGCTACGGGATCTGATGATGCAACTTGTCGTCTCTTTGATATTCGTGCTGATCAAGAAGTAGGAATGTATTCCCATGACAATATTATATGTGGTATAACATCGGTTGCCTTCTCCAAATCGGGTCGTCTTCTATTGGCCGGTTACGATGATTTTAATTGCAATGTTTGGGACACACTTCGTCTTGAACGTGCTGGTAAGATTCTTTTTTTTTTTTGCTTTGAATTTTTTATAAAATTAGTATTCCTTTTTTAATAGGCGTTTTGGCTGGTCACGATAATCGTGTCAGTTGTCTTGGTGTAACTGAAGATGGAATGGCCGTAGCGACTGGCTCGTGGGATAGCTTTTTGAGGATTTGGAATTAGCCTCAATTACTTTCTATTGTTCTTACAAAAAGATCTGCTTTGTCACATCGACGACAACAATAAGAGCCAGCTTTCTTACCTTTTCTCCCTCAAGCAATACAATAACTCTACGTTTTTCTTTTTTTCTTTCTTCTCTATCTCTAGGCTGGTGGACATATTTTTTGTACGTTTGGTATTGCCAATTTTGCTTGTCGTCCTTTCTTTTCTTTTCTTTTTTTTTTCTTTCTTGTCTCTGTTGTGCTCTTGTTGTTGTTCTTTTCTTAACAGTGGTGAAACACATTTGTCAAACACACACATGCATACATATTTACAAAAGACTTTCTATCTCTCTCTCTCTCTCTCTCTCTCTCTTTTAAATTCGATACAGGTCTTGTTCTGCCTGCATACTTTCTTCTTTTTGTAAGCTGCTTTTTTGCTTATCACCTTCTCATTTCTTTTTCATAATTGTCAGTAGTTATGTATGTATGAATGTATGTGTGTGCGTGTGTGTGTGTGTGTGTACGTTACTTTTAATTGTCGTATCGTTATGGATCGGTATCGTGTGAACATAGTTCTCACACCAGTCTTCTCGTCCTACTTCTACTACTTCTGCTGTTGTATGTGTGTCGTTTCAGAGCGAACGCAGTTGTTCTAGTCGTTTTATTCAGCGCGTGTATCATTGTGTTTTTCTCTCTTTTTTTTCTTCTTGTCTCACTGCTCTATGCTCTGCTGCTAAGTGTTTTTTTTTGTCTTTTTTTTTTTCTTACTGCTTCATCTGTTTGTGTGTGTGCGTTTCGCAGAATGAAAACCAAACACAATGTACTTGATGTTTATCTTTTTTTTTTCTTCTTCTCGTCTGTTTCGCTCTTACTTTTTTTTTCTCATTATATACTTACTTATTTAAAATACACACTCAACAGTCTATACAAACAAAAAAAAAAAAAAACAAATAGAAAAATAATTATTTTAGTTCTAATGTTTTTGTTCTCTTTTTTCTTCGTGGGAAAAAAAAAAGAAAATTTGTTGTTTGACTAAAATTTTATTTATTGATTTGATGATTGAACAATTTTGCATGATGACATAACGATTAGAAAAAAGATTGAAATGGAATTAAAATTAATTGTTGAATTGAAAACGAGAAGAAATTCTTTTTGTTTTTTTTTTTGTTTTTTCGAAAAATAATAAAACGAACACACAAAGACTAGATGCGCCATTTGTTTGCGCCAGTATGTAATGAATGTATAATGGAACATACTTTTCTTTTTTCTCTATCTATGTCTTTTTCTATTTTTCGCTTTAGACCAAAATTATCATAGCGATGAGTCAGAATGGTACGACACCTACTACAGATGAAGTATAGCTTTGTTTAATACTAAATAAAATTTTCATTTTTCTATTCATTTTTAGAATCGTACATCGATAACTATTCCTACTCCTTTATTTATTCCAATGATGCCTATGTTTATTCCTTATGGTAATGCTAATGCTGCAACTGGACAACAATTTTTTGGTCCAGCTGTTTATCCTAATGTTGCACCATATCCATCAACTAGTAATCATCGTCATGGAAATTTTGGACTTGGTTATAATCCATTTTATAATCCATTTTATCCTCCTTCGAATAATATTTTATCTTCAACAGCACATGTTACTAATTCAACAGCATTAATTCCATCACGTCCATTAATGCCGACATCAATGTTATCATCACAACAACTACAGCATTCATCAATAGGCTCTCCAACAATTGGAAATGATGTTGAACGTAATAAAAATTTAAATATACGTGAATGTCAATCACCAATTATGGATCAAATAAAACAAATTAAAAATCCATTAGTAATTGTTGATACAAATCATAATAATAATAATAATAATAATACAGATTTAAGAATACGTAAAGATTCATCATCAGCATCATCATTTATATCTCGTTCGGGTAACAAAAAAAAAAAACCAAAACAAAATTTTTTTTTATTTTAATTATTCTTTTAGAATCGGATCAAATTCCTTTTCCTTCATCATCTTCTGTTCAAGATATTGATAATGATAATTCACAAGATGATTTTTTAACATTTATTGAACAAAAAACTAAAACAAAAACAAAAATGCCTGAATTAAATCCATTTGCTAATGAATTTTGTTTTGTTGATAATAAAACTATTACTAAAGATTCATCAATAATAACAAATGGTATTGATCATCATAATACGAATAATGAAAATCAATCATCATATAGATTATTATTTGATAATTTAATTGAAAAAAGTCTTGAATCTATTGAAGCTATTAAAAAATCAAGAAAGTAAGGAAAATCTTTTTTTAACATTCTTTCTACTTTTTTTGTTTTTATTTTTCATTCATAGAAAAACTCCTGTAAATGATGTATCTGTTCAATGTAATTCAATAAATGATTCTATTAATCGTTCAACACAAACAATAGATCATACAAATAATTTTGATCTTATTGAAGAATATAGTTTACGTACAGTATGTTATTATATTTCAAAAAAAAAAAACACAAATAAATATTTTTTTTGTTGTTGTTCTAGATTAAATTAATGGATAAGTTACTTGAAAATTTTCGAAATGTATATCAAAATGAAGTTCATAATGAATGTAAAACAATGGCTCATACATGTGATGAATTACGGCATTTAATTTTATTTATTCATCATACATTATCATCACATAATGATCAACGAAAAACTTCATCAATTGATTTAGATAATCCATTTAGTAATATGATACAAGATCTTGAAAACGATATGAAAAATAGTAATAAATATCAAATATCATCATCACAAATTGCACATAGTGCTGGACGAGGTACAACACGTCGTTTAATGACAACATCATCTAGTAATTCACCAATGCCATCATTTTCTTGTCGTCAAATTGATCAAACAACAATAGCTAAAACAAAAGTATGATCTTTTTTCTTTTATTATAATAGAGTATAACTTTATATCTTTTTTTTTAGTCATGTTTACTTTGTCATAGACCTCTAGATGATAATGATGATGTTATGCATATACTATGTCGATCATTAGTATCTCGTCCAAATATGCTCACTGATACATAGATTAAAACATTTTCTTTTACTTCTTTTTTTTCTTTTTGTAATTCTTTCCTTTTTCTTGGTCGGATAGTATTGATCAAAGATGTCTTTCTCTCTCTCTTCTTTTTTTTTGTTGTCAACACATACATTCTTATGTGAATATACGGTGATATTATGTTTCCTTCATTGAATGTGCATTATTACTCTTGGTGTTGTCTCTATTCTTATTTTTCTACATAGAAGAAAAAAAAAACAATGAAAGTGTTATATTTATTAAAAAAAAATATAAGAAGAGCGATATGTTATATTTTATATAAGAGTTTCTTTTTTTTTTCTTATGCATGTGTTAAATGCATAGCAACAAATTAATTAGTAACTCAATGATAAAATCAAAACAGAAAAAGAGAATTTCGATATGGTTAGTTTAATTTGAATAGATGCAATCAAAATTTTTTTCGTATTGATCAAAGTTCAATGAGACGGATATAATCGTTTACCTTGTTCATTCTCGAGATATTTATTCCGGCACTTTTCAAGCTAATTTCGAGATATGTATTTTAAAGAACAATAATAAGATCATAGGAAAAGCATGTTCTTATCATTATTCAAAAACAAACAAAAAATCAAGTACTCGATTATGTTAGAAGAATATAACTTCTTTATTAATTAAGAATTATAATTAATTTGAATTTGTCTTCATCAAAGTTTAGAATACAATTATTTCTGATATCATATATAACTAGTGCTCATTATTCTATATGAAAAATTCATCAATATATTGTTGAAATTTTTTTATTCTAAATAATAATAATCAAATGAATATTTTTTGTAGATTCTTGACCTAGATATTTACTTGAGATATAGTCAAGGATTTACGATAGATGGCAGAATATCACATAATCTTTATTTAATTTTATGTAAATCTTTACAATAATAATAAAGCATATTTTTCAATTAGTGATATTTTTAGTATGTATTACTATCAATAATAAAAATAATAAAGGTATCAAATTAAGATATACAAGAGTACAAAAAAAACGAAGGCTACGTTGTCGTCTTCTTAGCAGAGGTATCGTCATTCAAATGGCGATATGTTGTATTATATTCCAAAGAGCATACGAGGTTGATGTTATTCATTCAGTTGATTCATTTATTCATCGTTGTTTTTCTTTGTTGAATAATAATATTAATAAAAACAAGCCTACGAATTGAAATAATTCATTATAATTGTGTGATTTTATTTATATTGTAGAAATTTTCAAATAAGTTTCGATTTTTAAACATTAACATGGCCGAAACTAATGCTGCTTCACATGATCATGATGATGATTTTCAAACAGGTGATGCTGGAGCATCAACAACGTAAGTATTCATTCAAAAGAATTCTTTTTTTTATTTTTGTTAATATTAAAAATTAATATTTAATAGATATCCTCAACAATGTTCAGCTTTGCGTAAAAACGGCTTTGTTATGTTAAAAAATCGTCCATGTAAAATTATGGAAATGTCAACATCAAAAACTGGCAAACATGGACATGCTAAAGTATAGAATGTTTTTTTTTTCAAAAACGAATTAAACTCAAATATTTTTATGTAGGTTCATATGGTTGGTATCGATATTTTTACAGGAAAAAAATATGAAGATATTTGTCCATCAACACATAATATGAGTGTACCAAATGTTAAACGTGTTGAATATTCAGTAAAAAAAAACAACAACAAATCTATTGTTTAAAAGAAGACTATATTTTTTTTCTTTTTATTAGTTGATTGATATTGATAGTGATGGTTATGTATCATTGATGGATGATAGTTCGGATACACGCAGTGATATAAAACTTCCGGAAGGTGAATTAGGACAAGAAATTAAAGCCAAATTTGACAGTGGAGAAGCACTTAAAGTTACCGTACTTCAAGCTCTTGGCGAAGAAGCCATTATAACATACAAAATTGAACAAGATTCAAGAAAATAAACATTTATTCGAATTACCTGCTTTCTTTTTTTTTTTTTCTTTTTTCTTTTTTCTTTTTGTTATTATATCATTAAGAATTTCAACAATCATACTTTCTATGCGAAACTAACTTATATTATTGTTACTCATAATTGAAGACAAGAAAAAAAAACCGAAGTTAAACTACATTTTATGAAAACCCCCTTTTTTCCTTCTTTCTCCTTTTTATGTTCTCTTTGTGCACGAACGTAGAGTTGATTGGTTTTTTTAGCTCAAAAACAAAAGTAAAACAACAAGAACATATATAGAGTCTTTTTGTGAACTTGTGAAATCCACGCAAACTTACACCATATTGATTGGTTAAAACTTTCGTTTCTTTCTTTCTTTCTTTTTTTTTTTTTTTATTGATATTTTTAGTGGATTGCTTTGTTTGTTGATTTTTATTATTCTTTCTATTATATCTAAACATACGATGATCGGGTGATGGTTAATTTTTCTTTTTTTTTATTTTCTTAATGAAATTAAGACGAGGATTCAAGTGTGAATATGAGAAAGATGATTTATTATCCTAATTACAGAAACGTATACTTTTCAAAAAGATTAGAATTATTAAATTGATAAACAATTAACAATTCATGTGATTATTTTCTCAATATAATTATTATTTGTTGTATATAAAAATAAGTTTATAAAAAAAAAACCTTATTCTCCATCTAATTGAACTGTTCCACAATCGACAATTTTAATAGCTTTTATTGGTCGTTGATTAATTGTATCGATATGTTCCAGTTTATTTAATGTATCAAAACCTTCAACAACACGACCAAATGCAACAAAACGATTTGACATCCATTCACAAGCATTTGATAGAGTTATATAAAATTGACTGCCATTTGAATGTCGATAACCTTTATTTACCATACCTTATAAATAAATAAAAAAAAGAAAATTTAATTTAATAATTAAAAAAACCTATGCAAAAAATATGAATATTACTAACCAAGAATACCTCGTTGATTATGTTTAACAACAAATGTTTCATCAGGAAATGTTTCACCATAGATTGATTCTCCACCATTACCTCTACCACCTCGAATATCTCCACCTGAAAACAAAAACATTATATATCCATATTTTCTTTTTCATAAAAATATATTTAATTAACCTTGAATCCAACCATTTGGTACAATACGATGAATAATTGAATCTTTATAATGAAGAATTGTACCAGTTTGTTCACTTTGACCTTTTTCACCTGTGCATAATGCTCGAAAATTTTCACATGTTTCAGGTGCTTGATTATTAAATAATTCAAATACTAAACGACCAATATCAGTTGTTTGAGAATTTTCACGATCTTCAATTTGAAAATCCATAAAACAATACGTATGTCGATTGTCGTGTGATTCAAAGTGACGTCTTAAACAAAAAAAACAAATGTTTATAACTTACATTCTTTTTCAAAAAACCAATACTTGTATTCTTCATTTGAAAATACTCCTAAAAGTTCATTTGAACGAAAATCAGTATGATCAAATGTATTTTTTGCCCAATGTAAAAATTGTTCAGCATTTCCAAGTAATTGTTTATCAATAAATACCATACATTTATCATTAAATGACCATGTTTCACCACGTAATTCTGCGCGTTTATTTAATGAAAATGATTTCCATTCATATTCAAGTAATGGATGAATTTCTGAATTAGATATTTGTTTTGAATGTGTTCGTTGTAAATCTTCCAGACAATGTTTAGCTAATTGATATTCATCAGAATTTAAAAGACCATATATAGCTATATGAAACGATGGTGGTGCCATATTACAAATGAAGTATAATGTGAAAATGTCGCCTGGCAACCGTCAAGTAATGTTGAAGAAAAGAAAATAAACGAGGACTTTCTTTTTTCTTTCTACAATAAATTTTACTACAATTGTGGGAAGAGTAGATGGCAGTATCAAGCATCTCAATAGTCTTCCAATTGAATTATATGAAGCTTTATTATATTTTGTTTTCAAAAATTAAAAAATTAAAAAAAAATTAAACACAATGAGTCTCATATCAAATGGAATCTTTTATTAACGTTAAAATCATAGTTGTTAACGGTTGATCTCGTTTTTCAAGTTGTTCTATAATATCAAAATGATCATAATTATCTAATTGTATTATTTTAACATTATTAAAACCAATTTTTTCTAAATAAGAACCATATTGTCGATTTTGATCATGAAAAGTTGGAGGATCATATTGAGCATGAATACATAGAATAGGTACATGTTTCAATGCTGACCAATAATCATTACTATCACGATGTAATGGACTTTGATTTTTAGCTATTGATATGGTCATATCAAGTGGTTTGTTAACATATGTAGAAACAAGTGGAATAAGATCAAAAACACCTGAAATAAGAAAGAAACCACCAAAAATTTCATGATCAATGTTATATTTAGTTTTCCAATCAATCAATAAAAGTGTTGATGCAAGATGACCACCAGCTGAATGACCACAAATAAATACTTTAATAGATAATTTCATTGCCCATTCAAGAATTTTAACTAAAGCTTGTTCAATACATGTTACTATTTGATCTATTGTAGCATATGGAGCAATTGGATAACCAATAACAGCTGTAAGAATTTGTGCATCACTCATTGTTTGAGCCATAAATGCACTTTCATTTCGTGATAAGAATTGCCAATATCCTCCATGAATATAGACAAAAATTGCTTTGGGTTGTATTGAATTAATAGCAGGTAATAGTCCTGTAACATTTGATGGAAAATAAATATCAATCGAATGATCAGGAAATGAACTTGTTGGATCTACTATCCAATTTAACAAACATGGTATCGTAGTTCGTGCATATTGTGTCCCTTTTGTTAATGTTTGCACATGAGATTCAATGACTTTTTCACTGTCACTAAATCGATGAGACCAACGAGATGGTGAGTAAGCACGATCAACATCTATTCCTATTGTTGTCATCTAAAGAAAAAAAAACAAAAATTAATCAACTTTTTATTTCGTTTTTATTTAATACAGATGAATGTCTTTTATGGCTTTACCTGATGGAATTGTGAGAAGGAATTAATTGTCTAAGTATATCTATAATAAGTTATAGAAGATAAAAGAGAAATTATGAGTATTTAAATATTTACTAGTTTAGAGAAAGCCACGTCTCATCGGTCAGTTCTTTCTTTTAGTGCGAATGATAAAACGATAAAAAAAATGCCTTTTTTTCGTTAGGTGTCAGACAATAACAGTATTTTAACTAGAGGTTTATTTTCAAATGAAAACTTGTCATGAATAGATATTAGTTATTTATAATCTCTGATATTAATGCAAAACAAAGTATTCAATAGAAAAACTTATCAATGTCAGTCATTCTTGTTAAAATTGAAAATCACTATTCGTTCTAAATTCTCTATATAACAGTCAAATCAATTTTTTTTTCCTTTGCATTAATCTTGTTTCTTTCTTTATCAGATATATATATATATATATTATGACAGTTTAGTATACCATACTACTAGATGTATATATACATATTTAAAGAAAGAAATATCGAAAGTCTATTTGTACGATGTCTAATGTTATATGTAAAGAAGATGGTTGTAATCAATTGATTGTTGCTAAATGTATGCATTGTGATAATCATCTATGTTTAAAATGTTTGACACGACATCAACAACCAATTGATGCTCAACTTTGTCAACTGACTAATAATATGAATAAGTTATTATCGTTATCATCATTAAATGATGATCATAAACAATTTAATCATCTTCAAACAAATATCAATAAACAATATATGTTAGTAATGGAACAAATTGATCTATGGGAAATGACAATGACTAAAAGATTGAATGATTTAATTTCACATGTTCGTCATAAACTACGAAATTCATTTGAACAAATTTCTTTTGAAATTGAAGAATGGTCAACAGAAAAACAAATTGAATTGCAACAATTAACAGCAGATATTGGTAAATATTTCAAAAACAGAGAAAAAAAATATTATATTTGTTTTTTTTTGAATATCTCATAGAACAATTATCACTTAAAGTAAATGATGAATCAAATATACGAATCGAAATCGATACATATAATCGACAAATTCAGAAATATATTAAAGAATATGAAACTGCTCATGTTGAATTAAATCTTATTAATAATGAATTAATTCCATTGTCATCATCAACAACTTTAGAATTATTTTCTTTATTTGAACATTCAATAAATTTTGATCTATCATTAATTCATGATCCACCAAATGTTTGTTTTGATGTTTCAAAATCATTATCATCATCATCATCATCATCATCGAATTCAATCAATAATCGTCGAGAAAAAATCTTTTTACCAAGTATTTTAATTAGTTCACAAAATCGAATTATTTTATTTTCAAATAAAATTAAACAATTAAATATTTTTTCAAATAATGGAACTCTTATTGATCAATTTAAATGGAATCATACTGATATTATTGATATTTGTTATGATTATTGTTCATCAACATTAAATGATGATTCATTTTTTGTTCTATCAACAAATGGTAGTGTTTATTATCTTGAATATCATTTTGATCAACATTCATATTCATGGTTAAAAATGATTACTGTTAATAATCAAACATATTATACTCAATTAATATATGATTCAAAATTATCTTATTTATATCTATTTATGTCAAGTAAACATCGTCTTGATCAATGGACAATTAATAAATCAAAACGTAATATAATTCATTGTTCAAATCAATTAATTATAACTAATGATCATGTTGAACATTTATGTACATCTGATCATCAATTAGCTTTATTATTACGTAATAAAAAGAAAATAGTAAATTATCGTATTGAACTACGTGATTTTACTGATTTACTTGTAACAATATATTCAATAACACTTGATCAATTATCAAGACCGATGAGAATTATTTTCGATAATCGTCATGGATTTATTTTAGTTAATGGTAATCAATTGTATTCATTTGGATCTGATGGTGAAATTATTTCAAAACGTATTTTTGAAGATATTAATGAAATTAAACGAGCAACTTTTTGTCAACGATCAACTTTTGTTATTCTTACTGATAATGATCAACTTTTATTTTATATACTTTCAAAATAAAACTTATGATTTGTTTAGTTTTTATTTTAAACATATTTTTGTTTTTCTATTAGATAAAAGTTATGTGATAACATTGAATTATTTTTTATTCGAAGTTTGCCTTTGAGATTGAAGCTTATCTAAGTAGATTTTCCTTCAAGGAAAATCGTAATCAATGATACTTCGCGTAAACAGCTCGACCAATTTCTAATACCACATGTAATATAGAGAAGTATAATCCTATAAGATGAGTATATGAAAAAGTCTTGAATCATCTTGCAAGCATATTTTGTATAGCAATGCGAGCAGGCGTTGATACCACTCTCATCATTCTTGTTCTTGTACTACTAATCGCATTTATGACCACCATGATTGCGGTATTTTTTTTTTCATGCGAAATATCAAATAATTGAAGACATTCGTTTATACTTAGACACTTTTTAGCATGCAAGCTTGCTCAATTTTTGAATCATTGATTCGCTTGAACATATCATATCATTACTCGCAAGCCAAAATACAAATATGTGCATCGACTAGTTTTGCGCTGGTATCAATGATATGAGAGAAAAAGCCAGAGAATCTTGTAACCAGTATCGTTTTATTGAAATTACAATGCTACAACGCAAAGTAACAATGAAAATTTTCTACGGAAACAAAAATACTACGAAGCATGAAGATGTAAAAGGGCTATACCAAAATTATCGCCGTCTGAACCATTTTTCTTCTTTTTTGATTATCAACATTTACTGAGAAAATGCCTCTATCAATATTTATAAATTTAATTTACTCTTCATCTTGATTTTATCAAAGAAGAAAGTTAGTAAGAAAAATCAATATTTAGTTCAATTACTTTACCCTTTGTTTATCTTGATAAACTAACTCTTCTTTGCATTCATATCACTTTTCTATTCGTTAAAATAACTGACATGCTCAACTTTTTGAGATTATTTCTCTGAACCAATGCCATTTGGTCTTTTATAAACCACACAGATGTACATTGATTTATCAACTAACTATGGAAGTATTCGCTCTGTAAAATGAGAATTTGTTCAGGAAACTATTGTCCATTTCAAAATAAAAGGCGGGTGGGTATTTTTTCAATAACTTTTGATAGGAGCAATGTAGGGAGTTGCGGTTTTCACCAATGGAAAGAGGAGATCAAGATACATCGAACTGTATATTCTAAGATAATGTGGCATAGTTTTTTCAAAGACTTAAAGCGATGTTTTTGAAAGCGAACATATTCCGTAAGATGAGTAAAATAATTTTTCAATAATCCCGTGTGCATCTGAACCGCTAACAGAAGATCTAGAAACTATGTGAAAAATCACTTTTTTTGCGTTTTTGTTGTAAAATAGCAACTCAATTTTTCGGCATTGTTTTAGAAAATTGATTAAGAAAACTTTAAAGAGTCTCCTGGAAAAACCAATATTATATGATTCGATACGTCTGCATCTCCTCCTTCCAATGGTGAAAATCGCAGCTCTCTATCTTGCTCCTATGAAAAGTTATTCAAAAAATACCCACCCGCCTTTTATTTTGAAATGGGCAATAGTTGCTACGATCTGTAATGAGGGGGCCTGTCTGTAATGGTAGCCTGCGTTGATATGGTTCGTAATGAGGACAGGGGAGGGGGGGGGCAGGGAGGAGCCGAAAAACTTCGACTTAAAACTTATAATCACTATTTTCTTCGAAAATATATGTGAGCTCCACAAAATAGTTGAATAAATATACCTATATAGTCTTGATAATCATAACGGTGCCAATTTTAGTTTTATCGTACTGATAGAATGAGTGCATATTATCTTTATCTATTATATAGTTGCACATGCACAATTGATTTATATAAATAGTATACTTAATAATTTGAACATATAGAATCTATAACAAGAATTGAAAATGCTCGTCATCAAATAAAATTATGTCAGAAAGAAAATTTTTATCATTTATTAAAAGATCGTGAACTTGATCCATGGACACAAACACGTCTTGATTCAATTAAAAATAAATATGATCAAGTTAAACATAATTTAAATGTTTTATTAAAATTAACACATAAAACAATACATAATAAATCATTATCTAGAAATGATAATGATATTGAAAATGAGTTCGTTTGAAAGAAAAGAACAAAATTTTATTTTGTATTTTTTTTTTTCTTTAGAGATTTTCTACCTGATTTAGAACTATTAAATACATCTCAAACAATGAAACAAGGAATTCAAAAACGTCTACGTGAACTTAGTCATAAAGTATCTGACATAGAAAAAGATTTACAAATTATTTATACAAAATTCAATAAAGATTTATTAAGTAGTAAACAAAATGAGTATAGTTATAAATTTTTGTAATTGCATACTTTACTTTTTTTTTTGTTTAGTTCAAATTTAACAAAGACGACAATGTCGTCTCAGAAATTATTTCATCCGTTAGATTCAGAAATTTTATTACATTTACAAGCTACTCATCCAAATATTAATGAAATTTATGTTCCACAAACACCATTAATTCATTTATCATCAGTAAATGAACAAAAAAAATCTTCAACTATTGAAATAACTAAACCACACACACCTATACAAACAAATTCTTCACCAACAATTGAATCTGAAAATTTTAAACAAATGTTACGTATTGTTCGAGCATCAATCGATCTATATTCTGGTGCAGCAAGTCCAGAACAATTACGTGAATTATCAAATACAATTTCGACAAGTCCATTATCATCATCATCATCATCAATACAAAAATCTAATACAATATCAATTAATAAAACTCCAACTATACCTAAAACAACAACCACAACAACAACAACAACAACAACTCATTCAAAATCACCAACGGTTACAAAATCCTTAAATACAACAATACCATCAACAAATATTGTACAAATACCAGCTAAAACTGTTACTTCACCTATACCAAATATTTCTATTATACCAGCAACACCAACAATATCATCAGATATATCATCAAAAATTCAATCAAATAAACCACTTATTCAAACATCTACTGATCTAACAAAAACATCAGGTGATAGTGTTATACGATCATTACTTAATAATAATACTGTATCAACTTCCCCAACTCCAACATCAAATTTAAATCAACAATTAATTAATTCTACAACAAATCAAATTATTAAATCAAATATTCCTAATGCATTAACGTCACAAGTAACAAATCAAGCTCCAACAACAACAATAACAACATCTGTTCAATCAATATCTCCAACAACTAAACCAATTATATCAACTGGTCTAAGTTCATTCGGTTCAAAACCAATACTTGGTAGTAATGCACTTAATTTAATATCTACTACATCATCGACTACTCCATTTGGTATTACTACAGTAACAACAACAAATAACGGATTATTATTTGGTAATGTTTCTATTACAACTATATCTGCTCCTAGTTCATTGATTACAACAGCAGCAACATCCGCAACTCCTACTCCATTTGGTACCGGATTTGGTACTCCTACTACAACAACAACATCAGCTTCTACTCCATTCGGTACTCCTACTACAACAACAACTGCGACAACATCACCTTCTATTCCATTTGGTACCGGATTCGGTACGGTACTCCTACTACAACAACAACTGCGGTAACATCAGTTTCTGCTCCATTTGGTACTGGATTCGGTACACCTACGACTTCAGCTCCAGCAACATCAGCATCCAGTACTGGTCTATTTACTACTGCAACAACTTCAACTTCTACTCCACTTGGTATTAGCGTGGGCTTTCCTACTACTACAACTGCAACAACATCAGCATCGGGCACTGGTCTATTTGGTGCTCCAGCAACATTAACATCAACTCCTAATCTATTTGGCAGCGGCTTCAATACTTCTACTACAACAACATCAGCACCTAGTACTAGTCTATTTGGTAGTGCATCAACAACATCTCCATTTGGTAGTGGATTTGGTGCTAGTTCGACAGCATCTCCAGGTACAACATTTGGTGGTTATGGTTCTACTTCAACAGCATCAACATCGGGTACGAGTATATTTGGTAGTAGTGGTTTTCCATTTACTTCAACTGCTAAATCAACAGCTGGTACTTCATTATTTGGTAGTAGCAGCAGTAGTAGTACACCTGCATTTGGTAGTAGTTTTTCTGGTTTTGGCACACAAGCAAATTTGTCTGGATCATCGACTGGTTTTTCATTTGGTGGATTTGGTGGTGCTCAACCTGCAGAAACAACAACACCGACAACAACACAATCAGATTTTGGTTCTTTTGGATCACCACCTCCTACATCATCACCATTTGGTGGTTCAATGTTTGGAGGAACATCTGGACAAACAACTGGTTTTGGTAGTAAGTTAATTCATCTTTTAAAAAAAAATTTCTTTTTTTTATTTTATTTTATTATTTATATTTTAGCAGCAACATCATCATTTGGAGCTACATCAACACAATCAGCAACTTCACCTTCATTTACAACTTATCGTAAATAAGATAATCTAAATATAAATATACATATATTTTTTTTTTCTTTTTGTTTGTCATTTCTGTAACTGGAAAATTTGTCTGTCATGTACATACACACACTATATTAATTTGTCTTTTTCTTTTTTTTTTTTTTTTTTTGAAAACATATGTGTGCATCTAATAAAGAAGAATAAATATGTGATGTAAAAATAAAAATAGTATGTAGGTTGAGAGTAGTCTGAATTGAGTTCTGATCATAGGATAATGATCATCTTACTCATTGAACTTCATATTGCTGACCACAGGCTTTCACAACTTTTTCAATGGAAGTATCTCAACAAATGTTGATCTTGTACATTACCATTGAGAAAGTAACTTCACACCGGAAGCTTTCTGATCACCTGCCATATGTTAAACGCATGGAACCCTGCTAGAGTCTCGATTGGTCTTTATCTCAGACCTTCCCAAGGATGAATATTAAAGAGTGACTATTAAATTGCACTCGTATGTAATCCCTGTAAGTAAGCTTCAACCCACATACACAAGATTTATTATTCTATACCTGTAACTTATATATAGAAACGTATATGTACAAAGAAAAAAAAAACGGTGAATAACAAAAAAAACAATCTCCCACAATGAGTGACATCTATTTTTTTTAATGTATTGTCGATACAATTGAATATTTTAAAAATACCCATATATGTAAGAGATGTATGCAACTTGTCGATACAATTGAATATTTTGAAATACCCATATATGTAAGAGATGTATGCAACTTAGTTCAATAGGGATTTTATCTTAGTAGCTAAAAGAAAATAGTTTTTTACAATTTTTTTTAAAATTGTTTTTGTAAAAAAAGACGTATTTCTATATAATTTTTTTTAATTCTAGATTAAAACATGTCAATCATCAAAAATAATATTAATTTAATATTCCGATGTCACAGATTATTATCAACACACAATAAGAACGATAAAAAAAATATTATTTTATCATCAACACAATTAAACACAGCAATTAAAGATCTTATTGCTGCTAAAAAATATAAACAAGCTTTAGATTTATTCGATGAAAAGTTTGAAATATGTAACGATTATACTATTAGTATGGCAATAAATGCTTGTAGTTTAATCAATGATTATAATCGTGGTATTCGTATTCAAAAACAACTTCAATCAAATTCATTGAAGAATAATTATATTCAAACATCATTAATTCGATTTTATTGTAAGTCATTCATTTTTTTTTTGTCAATTAGAATAGATTATAGAAAAATATAAATTTGTGAATATTTCAATTAATAAGAATATGTTTATCTTTCAGAAAACATTCTTTTTTTTTATTTTTGACTTTTTCTGCATAAACTAAGATTTGCATAATTATAAATTTACTCTATATGAGAAATCATCCATCAACGACGCTCATGTAAAGAGCGGAGCGTACGACAAAACTAGAGAAAGTTTAATAGAGGAAATGGATGGGGAAGAGTGTAGATTAACGAGTTCTGGACATTCAGATACTTATTATGAATGTTTTTCCTCTTTGTTTGACACAACTTTCAAACGAAATTTTCAAATTTGGCTTTTTGTTTTTTTGAAGAACATTTCTAAATAGAAAAGCTGTTAGTACAATTCCAATGCGATTAAAACGTGAAATACAATGTAGATCTTGTTACTAAATCATATGAAAACTGTTTGATTGAATATATTTTTCGACACGTTTCTTAATTATTGTTTATGTAATTCTTTAAAAGTGTAATAAAAGATAGCTCATATATATCGTCATGACATGTTAGTGATATATGGTCTTTAACCTTATGTCAAAAAAAAACATTCCTGATCTCCGAAACTATCTGTGACGGTTTCTAGTAGAAGAGAGAGCAGAACATCTGTTACATTCTGTGAAGGAAGGTCGTGGAAAGGATACAAATTTCTACCTTATATACTTAAACACTTCTAGATCGTGCTTTAAAAAATGGATTGTATCAATGAGTTGAATATGAATATAACGTTGAAATAATTAACGATTATCCTACATAAACGACTCGTTAGTTTTTTCGAGTAGTACTAACGAGGGAACACATCCAACTGTCCAATCGCTTTTGAGTTCGAACTCAGTGTGAAAGATAGACCCCAGTGAGGTATGAAAAGGCCCAAAAGGATAAGTGCCCATAGGCCTTCTGTCCAGAGTTATAGGCATTTTACTGGATTTTTAGCCTATGGCACAGTATATACCAAAAAATCGAATGACAATATTTCGAGCTGAGATTGTGTCCAAAGATAGGTCTATGTACCAATAGAATGCCCTGAAAATTTCAGCTCAAAAGAATGTTCCAATCTCGAGATATTGAACACCCAAAAGCCAAAAAATTCTAGCATCATTCGCGGGATATGCGTGATTTTTGGGAGTTTAATATCCCGAGATTGAAACATTCTTTTGAGCTGAAATTTTCAGGGCATTCTATTGGTACATAGACCTATCGTTGGACGACATCTCAGCTCGAAATATTGTCATTCGATTTTTTGGTATATACTGTGCCATAGGCTAAAAATCCAGTAAAATGCCTATAACTCTGGACAGAAGGCCTATGGGCACTTATCCTTTTGGGCCTTTTCATACCTCACTGGGGTCTATCTTTCACACTGAGTTCGAACTCAAAAGCGATTGGACAGTTGGATGTGTTCCCTCGTAAGAATGTAGTTAGATTTTTGATTGCTATTCGTATTATACTTCATTTTTTTTTCTTGTACTATTTTCTATTCATTAAAATACGTCGTTTTTGAAAAAAAATCTATCATCTGTTATAGTTTTCTTTATTGTTTATGGAGTATATGTTTTAGCTTTTTCATATTATTTTCTATGTTTTAATATATTTATTTAGTAAACTGTTATTTAATATAAAAGCCTCGTAAGCATGGTCCTTTTTTTGACTAATAGATGGTACTTACATATATTGTTTAGATTCATTCTACCGATATATAGAATATGCAATGTGTGAGATCTGTAAAAGACTATAGTTCTATTTCACAATAATTGATTATTAGCAAATGTTGTCATATTTATTGTTATAATTAGAATAGAAAACAAAATTTCTGTTTGTTTTTAATGGATCCTATTTTCATTTGCTTTGTTGTTATTTACATGACATTTATTTTCTATTCATAATTAATTATCATAAGTCTAATAATAGATTTAATTGTTAAATAAGTCTGTTTCATACATTCATTATATGTAGAGTAGATCTCAACGATTTATGATATATCATGACGGATATAATAAGAGTAAAATTAATTTATTTTTGTAAATTAAAATTTGATCCAATCATGCTTTTGTATTGATCATACGATAGTTGTCATCAATCAAAATATCATCCTTGATATCTATCATATAATTGCTTATCTGCTCTAAAATTAAAAATTTCATCATTAGAAATGTTAATCAATGCATTGAAGTCAACCAGATTTCAAGCAACGTTTTCGAATTTCCTAGAATTTTCTAAGCCTTATTTTAATATTGTTGAGCCCTATCACTTTTGATTGCTAAGGTCCATCATAGAGAATGAGAAATGAGAGAAGTCGCAAAAGCTTCGATTTAAAGTTGGATTTAATAGATTTTCTTCGACAATATATATATATGTGATTTCTACGAAAGAGCAGCATTTTTGAACAAGCAAGCTCTTTCTAGAAGGTTGGTTTTTTCTATTTCGAACATCCCATATTGATGAAACTAGACTCATCTGGGTAGAGAGGGTGAATAAGGTTAGCAAGAAATGTAACTTTTTTTCTAATCGTCCTTTATGTATTACTCTAAATAAGCAACTTCAATCTCTTTGGTTAATTTGAAAAACTTACTTTTTATTGTGTCTTACACAAAAAAAAATAATATCCTCTTATATTCTTTTTTTTGTTAAAATATTACAATTGAGTGAATGTCACTTTGTCAACAATTATTCAAGGTATTCAATCAGATTTTTCCAAATTTAATTGTACTTCATGAGACAAGCACATAAAATACTAGCAATCCGTGAATAAAATACCTTATAATTATTTATACTAAACATTCAACAAAAAAAAAACATATCATTTAGTTAATGTTCAATCATATTCGATAGATATCTATACCCATCAAGTTTTCTTTTTATTTTTAGCACAATATCACGATATGGATAATGCAATTCGTCTATTCTCTACAATAACAAACAAATCTAGTTATATCTGTACAGCTATGTTCAAAGGTTAATATTTTTTATAATTTTTGTCTTATTAAATATTTTTCATTATTAGGCTTAAAAAATAATAATATGCCAGAAAAAGTATTTGATTTATTAGATCAAATGACATTTAAACCTGACAATTATACTCTTACAATTTTATTTAATGTATGTGCTCAAGTTGCTAATGATCGAGCAATGAAAATTGGAAGAAAACTTCTAGATGAAATGCCTGATGATTATCGAAATAATAATATTGTATTAAATTCAGCAATAGATATGCTAATGAAATTTGGTGATGTTCAAAGTGCTGAACGTATTTTTGATTCA